TTCTGACAAAATTCAACATGTTTTTATAATAAAAACACTAAACAAAGAAAGAATATATGGGAGCTTCCTCCAGCTGATAAAGGGCATCTATGAAAATCTCACAGTGAACGTCATACTCAATGGTGAAAGACTGAACGCTTTCTCCCTAAGATCAGAAACAGCACAAGAATGTCCGTTCTCACCACTTCCATTCAACATATTCTGGAGGTGCCAGAGCAGTTAGGCAAGAAAAGAAATGAAAGACATTCGGACTGGAAAGGAATGAGTAAAACTATGTGTATTTGCAGATGACATAATCCTGTAGATAGAAAATCCTAGGGAATCCACAGAAAAAACACCCTTATTACAACTAATAAATGAGTTCAGCAAGGTTGTAGGTCAATATACAAAACTCAATGTATTTCTCTATGCTACCTATGTATATAGAATTACCAATTTTACTTTCATATAACCAAAAGTAAAATTAAGAAAATAATTCCATTTATAATAGCATTAAAAAACAAAGTACTTAGGAATAAATTTAATAAAAGAAGGATAAAACCTGAACGTGAAAACTACAAAATATCATTGAAAGAAACTGAAGAAGATCTAAATAAATGGGCAGACATTCTATCTCCGTGATCAGAAGACGTAGCATCGGTGAGCGGCTGTTATGGGCTGAACCATGTCCCTCAGGAAATCCGTATGCTGGAGCTCTAACCCCAGGACCTCAGAATGCGGTTGTATTTGGAGATAGAGCCTGTAAAGAGGTGAGGAAGTTAAAATGAGACCATTAGGGTAGCCCTAATCCGATGTGACTGGTGTCCTTAGAAGAAGAAGAGATGAGGACACACAGAGAGAGACACCTGGGGGGCAGATGCTCAGAGGAGAGCCCATGTGACAAGGCTGCAAGAGGGTGGCCACCTACCTGCGTGCCGAGGAGAGAGGGCTCAGAAGAACCCATCTCTAACATTGACCTCAGACTTTTGGCCTCTGAAAGTTGTGTAAGAAACGACTTTCTATGGTTATGCCACCCAGTCTATGGGGCTTCGTTATGGCAGCCCCAGCAGACAAACACAGATGTCAATACCCCTAGAACTGAGAGAGTGTTTATTTTAATCCCTACCAAAATCCAAGTTGTCTTTTTTGCAGAAATGGACAGTGTGGTCCTAAAATTCATATGGAAATTCAAGGGACTCAGAATAGCTTAAAAAAAATCTTTAAAAATAACAACTAACTTGGAGGACTCGCTTCCGATTTTAAAGCTTACTATAAAGCTACAGTTACCAAGACACTGTGGTCCTGGCGTAAGGGTACACATACAGACTAATGGAATGGAACTGAGAGTCCGGAAACAGCCCTCAAATCTTTGGTCAGTTCCTTTTCGACAAGAGTGCCAAGACAATCGGCACTCAGACTGGAAAGGAATGAGTAAAATTATGTCTATTTGTAGATGACATAATCTTGTAGATAGAAAATCCTAAGGCATCTACAAAAAAAAAAAACCTATTAGAACTAATAAATGAGTTCAGCAAAGTTGTAGGTCAACATACAAAAGGCAAGACAATGAGCACTCTTGGGGCTTTCTCCACTGCAGAAATAGTCTTTTCAACAAATGGTGTTGGTGCAGCAGAATATCCATATGCAAAAGAATGAAAGTGGACCCTACCTCACAACATATACAAATCTTAATTCAAAAAGGATCACGGACTTACAGGAAAACCTGAGAGTAAATCTTTGTGACCTTGGACCAGGCAGTGGTTTCTTAGGTATAAACCAAAAGCGCAAGTGACAGAAGAAACAATAGATCAATTGGACTTCATCAAAATTTAAACCTTTTGTGCTCAGAGGACATGACCAAGGAAGTAAAAAGACAACCCACAGAATGGGAGAAAATATTTACAAATTATATATCTGACAAGGGACTGGTATCCAGAGTAAGCCGTTCAGGCACAGCTCTTCTGAAGCGCACTTTTCCCTTGGAGCTGTCAGTGCTCCTGGCTTTCCTACAACATATTGTCCTCTGTGCCATTAACAGCATTGCGGGGGAGCCTTTTAGAAAAGGTCTCTGCTAGTCTCCCAGGACTTCGTTTCAAGTCTGCATGCAATATTGTGACTTAGATAATATATTTGGTCATTTGAATGACCAAAATATATTTCTCATGTATATTTGGTCTTTATCCCCAGTTCCTGGCTCACAGAGCTCCCAAAACCCTCAGAATTCCCTAAGTGTTGAGAGTGATAAGGGTGTCTTTTGTTGTGTTAATGAGGTGACTTTTGAAAGCAGCTAAGGGTGGGGGTGGTTACTGATGGAGATACCCGTGTGATTAGAGGGTTGGAACTTTCAGTTCCACCTCTGACTTCTGGGGAGGGGAGGGGCTGGAGGTTGAGTTCAATCACCACTGGTCACGGTTTAATCAATCGTTCCTGTGTAATGGCGCCTCCACACAAACCCAAAAGGACTGGGTTCGGAGAGCTTTCTGCTTGGTGAACACGTGGAGGTGCTGGGAGAGTGGCTCACCTGCAGAGGGCCAGGAAGCTCCACACCCCTTCCCACACCCCTTCCCCTATGCATCTCTCCCATCTGGTCGATCCTGAATTATATCCTTTCATAATAAACCCGTGATCTAGTAAGTAAAATGTTTCTCTGAGTTCTATGAGCCATTCTGGCAAGTTAATCGAACCCGAGGAGGGGGTCGTGGGAACCTCTGATCTATAGCCAGTCTATCAGAAACACAGGTGACAACATGGACCTACAGCTGGCGTCTGAAGTGGGGATGGGGCAGTCTTGCAGGACTGAACCCCTAAGCTGTGGAATCTGACTCCATCTCTGGGTACATAGTGTCAGAATTGAGTTGAATTTTCAGACACCTGCTGGTGGGTAAGATTTGCTTGTTGGTGTGGGAGGAACCCCCTCCTCACCTCTGGAATTGAGTCTCAGAACCCAAAAGAAAGTCACTGCACTAATTCTGCAGGTGTGGGAGCCGTGGCAGCGAGAGGCCAGCGCACAGGAGTTCTGTTGTCAGTGTACTTCAACCCAGATACTCGTTTACATTTCCCTGGGAAATGTATGCGCAAGACTGACTCATGGAATTAAAGTGCAAAAGAAATCTTTTAGTAAGATCAAATCAAATAAAGATCAGAAATAATAAAAAAGAAATGTCAGCATTATTTCTTTCTTAATGGGACTTGAAATAAGGAAGCCACCTCTGTGGGGAGAGTCTGGACTCTTGCTTTTTGCTTCATCCCGTTCTCTGTTGTTTGAATGTGTTTCAAGGAGTAAGTCGTACTTTCCTAATTAAGATAATCTTTCTAATCTTTATAAACAATTGTTTCAATTTAATAAAGCCTCTCCATATTGTTTTACTAGTGAGTTCTATCAAGATTTCAAAGTCCAGATAAGTCCCCCAATTTAAAGTTTCTTCAACAGTAAAGAGAGCACTTAAATTGTTTCTAGAGTTAGCACAATTCCTACACGAGCACTAATAAAACACAAGACTCTGCAACCCAATTTTATTTATGGATGTAAATGCAGAACGGCTAAGTATGCTATTAATGAGTTGACTCCATCAGCATGTGACAGAGTGGCTCCTTGTCAACAGTGAGGACCTCGGCTCTGATGGGCTGTAAGGCTTTCATGGGAAACAATGTTTCAGTCCAGCATCAACCAGCAGGTTTAAGAAGAAAAATCATAAGACTGTCTCAATTAAAAAGATGTTATCATTATCTCAACACTCATCTCTGCTAAATACTCTTGGTTAACTAGAGAAAGAAGAAAATTGTCCCAGGATGAGTGTCTCTTTGCCACAAAACAACCAACAACAGATGTGATGAAGAGCCTGGAAAAGTACCCCATTCCTGCCAGGCGCTAGGCAAGGGCGCTCCCGTCATCTCAGTTAGCCAACATTGTCCTAGAAGGCCCAGGCAATTGAAACAGATGCAAGACAAACAGAAAGGCCTTGCTTCTGAAAAGAAGTACTCAAAACAAGTCATTATTTCCAAACACGTGTTCCTGTGTTGAGAATTTGATGTTGTCTGGGCACCCAGCAGCTTCATGACCGGGGACCTAGAATAGTGGTGCCTGGCCCCAGACCACGGCTCCACCCCTGTGAGTCCAGCTCCCCAGCACCTGCCATGGGCTCCCTCCCCAGGATGCACACACTCAGATGAGCTGCACACATGCACCTATTCTCAGCCAATGGGAGCCACGAGGCCCACCTCACACACATCCTATCCTCACCCCAACCAGTCAGGGCTTGAATTCTAGTTCGAGGGGAGGCTGACTATGCTCCTCCCTCAGGCACCAGCAGGAGGGACCACCAAGCACGAGAAGTGCTATGTGGACCTCGATGGGTGTCTGTCCAGGCCAGCCTGGCTGGGTGAAAGAAGAGGGTAGAGGGGTCAAGACGACTCAGCCTCCATCCTGAGGAATGGACCCTGCCAGCCACATTGGCCCCTGGAAGGGGAAAGCAAGAGCAAGTTCAACTGGGACAGGACCCGAGGTCTGACCAGTGATGTCAATTCCCAGTTCAAGAGGCGCAGAACACTAGAGGAGGGCAAAGACCCCCAAAACTCCTGCCAGAGGTCAATACCCCTTCATTGATGTGGCCTTACATAAATCCTACCCCAAACAAACACATGCAAACAAAACCTGAATGCTCCTTGTCCAATTAGGGTCAAAGAAGATGACAGTCCCGCACCCCACATTCTGACCTATGGGTTGGTGGAGCTCCCTAGGTGCTGTGTTTACCGGCATTGGTACTGGTGCCAGCAACCGGTGTTGACAGAGCCCAGGCATTGTCAGAGGGGTGCCTGGATGGAGCTTCTAAGAGCCAACTGCTACAGGAATCAGCCTTGAAACAGTGGGCCAACAATAGTTAATAATGAACTAAGATCTTGGGCCAGAGGAAAAAGAAGATGGCATTGGTCAGCTGGTCACCCTCTTTCTCAAGGATGCATTATAAAAAGCTTTGCCTTTCCACGGGAGCATCCCCAGAAGTCGGCAGAGATCCCAAAGCACCATGGCTGCCCTGGGCATCACGGTGGCCCTGCTGGTGTGGGTGGCCACCCTGCTGCTCATCTCCATCTGGAAGCAGATCTACAGCAGCTGGAACCTGCCCCCTGGTCCTTTCCCACTGCCCATCATTGGGAATCTTTTCCACTTGGACCTCAAGAATATTCCCAAGTCCTTCACCAGGGTAAGAGAAATACTGGTGATTTCAGGGACGAGAATTTAGGGATTAGATGTAATATGTGTGCCTTCACTCATTGTCAGACAAGTTGTTATTCAATACCCGCCTGTTATTAATTAACTACAGTAACAGTAACATCCATGTGTGATGTTCAATATTTAGCTAGTGGTACACCTTGGGCACCGCATGCTCAAATGGGCATTGGCCATGGCTGGCCCTGGAGGCCCCTTGTCGCTAGGAGGGTTTTGAGGAAGCCGGTGTGGCCAGGGCAGCTGCTGTTTGCCATTGCAATGCAAGGAGAGCCATGCATTCACACTGGCTGGTGTCAACCTGCACCTCTCTATAGACACCAAAGAAGAGGGTAAAAAGTGAAATGTTTGACCAAATTACCCGGTACCTCCTACAACAATCGTTGTGAACGTAGTGAATGAGCTAACAAATCTAAAAACTAAATGAGTTAGTAAACCTATTAAATGAGTTAATAAAAGAATGCCACAGGGCACAGAGCAGGCTTGGAAAGTATTTGTATCAAGGAGAGTGTTGATGGCGCTTCATGCACCTCAGAGGATAGGCTCAGTTGCGGGGGTCAGGACGGTGCCAGCTCCGGGTCCTCCTACAGTGCCCTGGGGTCCATACCTTGACTGAGGACAGCAGACAGTGGGGTGATGGGTGGATGTGGGCAAAGGGGCCTCAGGGGCGGGACATTCAGGACGAGTTGGCCCACTGAGTTAATGGTGTCCAGGTGGGAGAGGAGTTAGGCACACCCAGATGTGTGTGGCCAGGTGTGCAGGTGTGCTGGCATCACGCTCCCTGCAGAAGAAAGCCTCTGTGGGAGAGTCTTCCAAGTCGGGCTGGATGAAGGCCATCTTTCCCCAGATCCTTCTGGGTTCTCTTGGTCAACAGAGACGACTTTGGGGGTGAGTTGGAAGCACTGCCCTCTTCCTCCCCAAGTCCGCACGGTCTCACTCTGCTGCTTGCTGGTCTCACAGCTGGCAGAGCGGTACGGGCCGGTGTTCACCCTGTACCTGGGCTCGCAGCGCGTCGTGGTCATGCATGGCTACAAGGCCGTGAAGGAGGTCCTGCTCAACTACAAGAATGAGTTGTCCGGCAGGGGAGAAATCGCCGTGTTCCAGGCGCACAAGGACAATGGTATGTCCCACTTCTTATAACACCCCCACAGAGGAGTAAGGGCAACAGGAGGGCCCAGCCGGTACTGAGACAACAGCACAGCAACAACACTGTAAAGATGGAAAGGAGGATAGATCCCCAGGCAGGTCAGGTGCTGGTCAGTGCATCGGGTCATTCAATCAGTGCGCAGCATGCATTTTAATGAAAGCTAATACATGAGACTTGTACCCAAAACGACCAGTAGGCAGTTGTTTACAGAGAAATATGGCAGAGGAAGACGCTTCTGCTGGCTGAGCTGTGCCTCCTCCCACAGACCTTCCAGCCTCCACGGCCTCTCCCTCCTCTCTCTTTGCTGGGAGCTGTTTCCACTCACAGCTTCAACAGCTCCTGGTCTCAGGGCTCCATCCGCTGAGGTCCCCTCACCCACGATGGGCACAGAAACTCTGCTTGTCTGCAAGGCTTTGCTCAGCCGCAGTTCATGTCCTTCGCTGAGGGGCCTCTGATACCCACCTGCGGATGTTCTGAGACCCAGAAGTGTGCTGTGAAGGCAGCCCCAGCTCAGAATGAGACTACCACATGACCCGTCTCCCCAGCCTCACCTCTCTTTCCTCTGCACCCCGTGTCTCCAGAACCCTGAGTTCCCCGTATCCATGAGACACACCTGTCTCCTCCTGTAGGGGGAAGAGAGTTAGGGTCTGGGGGTCTAACTGGTCTTTATCAGACTCCTGGCTTCAGACCGCACCTTCTGTGTCTCCTGGGAGGTCCTGGAGCCCATGGAGGACACCTGCTGGGTGGGGGCCCCCCTCCTCCTGGTCTCAGCTCGAGAGCTCTCTGCCCGGCCTGCTGCTCTCTCTGTCCTGTCCTCCGAGCTTACCTGCTGATTCTTTTCAGCTTGCTTACTGCCGTTTTAGTGAGATTCCAAAGCATATTAGAACAAACACCGTGTCCCGTCTACCCTCTGGAACTCGGAAGCCTCTGCTTCTTCCTGAGGCAACTTTGGTGATGAACCACTAGAAAACGTTTATCCATTTAATTTCAACTTTCAAATGACGCACTTACAGTGGGCAGTGTTCTCACTTTACGTTCCCAGTCTACATTCCCGAAGTTATATCATGTCACAATCGATGGCATTTGTTTTCTCTCTTGGATATTGTGAGTTTGTGTTACTTCTTGGACTTGCCAAAGGCAAAACCAACCACCTCGGTCTTTGTCATTAACACAAGAGGAGCGTTACTGGAGGAGAGCCCCATGAGAGCAGTTCTGGGTCAAGGAACTCCATCTTGGCTCGGGGAGCCCTGACCTTCCATCCCTGGTCCACATCATGGGCCCTTAATGCTGCCAGGCAGTGGCCAGCACTCACATTCTACAGGTTGGCCTCAATGGGACTTTGCTGCCTCCTGCCAGGGCCTCCAAAGTCCTACTTTTATATGTCCCACACAGCCCAGAGCTGACCCTGAAAATCAGCCAGGGCCTGGACGTGGGATGCATCTGGTCCCCCAGGAATGATGACATGAAGGTTCATTACTAGCGTAATATTGAGCAGGCTGCACAGGAACCGCACCCGTCATTCCAGTCACTCTGTATAGAGCGCCAAGAGAGCAGCCTCCGCTGTCTGTGTTCCAGCCTGCCCTGCGTCCCAAATAGTGCCGGCCCCTCTGGGGTCTCTCTCAGTCTCTCTGTCTCTGTCTCTTTCTCTTTCTCTCTGTCTTTCTGTCTCTCTATTGCTGTCTCTCTGGCTGTATTTCTGGCTCTCTCTTTGTCTCTGTCTCCGTCTCCGTCTCTCTGTCTTTATCTCCCTCTGTCTCTTTCTCTCTGTCTCTCTCTCTGCCTCTGTCTGTCTCTCTCTCCTCACATTTTCCTGTATCTCTCATTTGCTGCACAATTCTTCCCAGTAACATGTTTAAATTAACTGCTTCTCTGCCCCTCCTTCCTCAACCACCAGGGTCCTCTTCCCCTGTCACAAACCCTTCAGGGTGGTCCACTGGCCGTTGTCTCCCTCCTTCCTTCCCTCCTGCCTTCTCTGGCCCTCAGGGCTCCAGGCATAGCTGACAGCTCTGCCCTTCCGACCTCCTCAGCACACAGTCTGTGGCCCCTCCCAGCCCCTCGCTCATCCACCCTGTGTCCTGGGTCAGTGTGTCTTCTCCCAGTGACTTGAGACGTCGGAGCTGCTGGAGGCTCAGCTGGGCTGATCGCATAGAAATGTGCGTGTTTGGACCGTCTTTCCCACAGGTTCCCTCTTGGGCTGCCAGGCCACATCTCCAGCCTGCCCTCAGCATGGTACGCAGGGTCCCACAGGAATCTGAAGCTCAGCGCAAATAGTCCTGAACTCAGGACGCTGGTGTCCAGTCCCCCACCAAGGTCACCAGGGTCTTTCACTTAGTGAACAGCATCTCTACATGGCAGCCTCGACGCCACCTGCGCTTGTGCTCACATGTGCCCAGCAAGCAGTCATGCTGTCCCTTCCCTCGCCTGTCTCCACGGCAACCGCTTCTTGCCCTCAAGCTTCTTCTCCTGACTCCATAGGGTGCTTCCCCCTCAGCCACTCAGGCATCCTTTTAGGGTAGAACTGACACTCTCAGCCCGGCAAGCGCAGACCACCCTGCTCCCCACCTCACCTCAGCTCCTCCCCGCCCCTCTCAGCCCAGCCAGACTTCTTTCCAGAATGTCCCATGCCCGGCCCTGCTCAGACCTCTGCGTGCACGTGGAAGGGTCTTCCCAAATCCGATGGCCTGCTTGGTTGGGGAGCCATGTGACCCCTTGGATTCTAGTAAGGACACTTTCTGTGAAGCCACAGAGCTGCGTTGAGGTCTTAATAATGTGAGGGTTAAAAACCACTGAGAACAGAATGGCTTTTCAGGAATTTTGTCAACAGACAGGAAAGGGGTGGAAGGTTTCCTTGGTGGTCAGGTGAGGTTTTATTTCACACGGGGAAGACGCAAGGCAAAGTGGACAAAGAGAGAAAGTAAATACATGGCTTGAAGAAGAGAGTGCCCAGGAGAGGAGCGATGCGATGGAGAAAGCACAAGGCAAGCAGGGGCCGGAAAGGCTTCTCCCCAAACCCAGCAGCCCGGTGCCTGAGGCCGGCGCTGCTCTCTGCCTCTGCTCTGGTTCTAAGTGCTTCGGTCCCTCCCTGCGCCCCCAGAGCACACAGGCCTGTCTCATCCCACCCCTTCTCCCCACCTGGGCATTTTCAGTAACTCATCTGCGGCTCCCTCTTCTTCAGGAGTTATTTTCAATAATGGACCAAGCTGGAAGGACACCCGGCGGCTCTCCCTGACTATCCTCCGAGACTATGGGATGGGGAAGCAGCGCAACGAGGAGCGGATCCAGAGGGAAACCCACTTCCTGCTGGAGGCCCTCAGGAAGACCCAGGGTGGGTACAGCGCAGGCAGGACGGCTTCCTTGCCAGACCGCTGGGGGCAGCGCTGGCCTGGGCCCCTGATGGCGGTTGCCAGCAAGAAGGTGGTGTTAATCCACAGACACCATTTTACAAGTCGGGTTTCCTCCAGGTCTCGGGGGAGTAGGAGTGGTGATCCAGTGTGTCACCGTTATGTCCTGAGTAACTGAAAAGAGACCCGAACAGGTTCAAACATTCACTGTCTTCTGTTCATCATCAGTTTTCAGTGTGTCTTCTCACAGGCTTGGTAAATGCCGGTGGGGAGGCTGAGTCGCGTGTGAAGGGCTCTGACAGCTCACTCGTTTTCCAGGCCAGCCCTTCGACCCCACCTTTGTCCTTGGCGGCGGGCCCTTCAACGTCATCGCCGACATCCTCTTCCACAAGCACTTTGACTACGAGGACAAGACGTGTCAGAGGCTGATGCACTTGTTCAACGAGAACTTCTACTTGCTCAGCACCCCCTGGCTCCAGGTGAGGCCTCACTCCTTCCTCAGGAGTCTGCGCTCGTCTTCAATCGCACAGATTCTGTTAGAGCCAGAGAGCCTGTGTATTCCTTCTGGAGACATCTGTGGGGCCAGAGTCCCCCTTGCTAACCTGTTAGGGACTCACCGTGTCACTTTTTAACATCTGTCCCCACTAGACACGTGACATGCGTGCCCATGAACGTGTCCCCCATGGGCAAGCGCAGCCCGGCCAGGTGGTGCTCAGAAGGCGCCTCGGTAGCCGTGGCCACAGCTCTGGGTCTGGAGGAAGGTGTTAGGCCAGCACACAGAACATGTTGCCTCTGGAAAAAACATAGTAAGATAATCTCCCCCCTCTCTCTGTAGGCTTATAATTATTTTTCAACCTATCTGCGCTACCTGCCTGGAAGCCATAGAAAAGTAATGAAAAATGTGTCTGAAATTAAAGAGTTTACTTCAGAAAGAGTGAAGGAGCACCATAAGTCACTGGACCCCAACTGCCCCCGAGACTTCACCGACAACCTGCTCATGGAAATGGAGAAGGTACTGTTGCAACACACTGACTTGCAGACGCCAGGCGACACCAAGCACTTGGCCGTTATGAGATGGGTTTTCTGGAGGGGGGTGCATTTTTCAGATTTATGTTGTGACCTGCACTGCTGGTGTCCAGACTGCCCACCTTGTGGATTTTGATGCTCTCAGTTGCACACAAACACACTGGCTTTAGCACAACCACCACATGCTGCTCCCATACATGTCGAGAGACAGCCAGCCTGCCTGGCTGACCTTAATGACCACTGTACCGTACACCACGCTGGCCAACAGACGGTCTTCCTTGGGGAACCCCTCAGGGGGCTGTGGGATGGGGTGAGTGGGTCCCTCACATCGGCTTCTTCCGAGCCATGCTTCTTAACCATTTCTGGCCGACTGACAATGACCATGCCTCATCTGGGGAGAGGTCCTCTGTGTTCCGCGTCAGCATGGAAACCGCAAATTGTGCATGACAACAGGCCCACCCAGCATCATCTGCCTGATGGCCCCCCGGGCCCCCCCCGCCACCCGAGATCAGGGGAGCTTTTTCTCTTTCCTTTGGCATCACTGCAGCTCCAGAACAGCAGGTGGATTTCACGCCTGATTCCCCTGGGTAACTCCCCCAGATTGTCTGAGAATCTCCTCTGTCAGTGGGGCCCCTCACTGCACCCAGCTGTCTGGCTTCCTGGTGACTTCCTGTCTCCTGGGACCCAAAGCTGCTGAACATGGGGACAGAAAGAGGCCAAGGGCAGCCCCTGCAGTTTTGGGTTGTTAGCAGAGGCTGCACACTCCACCCCGGGCTGCTGGAGGTCATGACACAGGACCTGGGGAGCCTCACCCCCCAGGACGGCCCTCAATGCTTAGAACCAGCACAGAACCCCACGGCCTGGGTTGGGGGCAGAGTCCTGCCCAGGGCCAGTGTTCTGGGAGCCTCGGTTTCCCCCACTGTGCAATGGAGATGATCGTGTCTCCGAGGGACAGCCTCGTGCACACCTGCCCCTTCCTCTCTGTGGAGCTGACAGGGCTGCCAGGTTCTCTTCTGCCGAAGGAGACAAGGGTCTGTTTCTCATCTGTTTGAAGACGTCCCCTTATTGAACCCACCTGTCGTTAACATCCGCAGGAGAAACACAGTGCGGAGCCCCTGTTTACGTTGGAAAACATCACTGTGACCACGGCTGACATGTTCTTTGCAGGGACAGAGACCACCAGCACCACGCTGAGATACGGGCTCCTGATTCTCTTGAAACACCCGGAGGTTGAAGGTACGCCAAATAACAGGCGAGGACGCCAGGGCGCGCGCAGTCGCGCCTGGATGATCGCCTGGAGCGTTTAGGCTTCAGCTGTCCGTCTGCTAAATGGAAACTGATGTTGCTTGTGAACCTTTGCGGGAATGACACTGGGATGACGGGATAAATCCTTTGAGGGGTCGTGCTCTTGTACATGATGGGCACCTGGCCCTCTTGAACACTGGTCCTCCCACACCCCCACTGAAACACCCCTGATTGTAGAAAGAAAACAACACCAGAGTGGAGAAATGCAGTGCTGTCTGCATTCTGCTCCACAGGATAACCTATTTATGACAGTGAGAACAGCGTGCACATTATCCCTGAGTGAGACCTGCTTTCTCAGCAGTCAGGGAGACAGGGCAGGGCAGGCAAGGCCCTCCTGCCATAACTTACCCTACTGGAAGAAAGAGGATCAGAAGAAAGAAGCCCAAGGGAGAAGCATTCCAAGGCTGCCTGCTGCCCTGGCCCCCTTTGCTCCTGCTGGGGGCTCCTCCCCAGCACCTGGGTCAGGTGGGACTCAGGGTGCCCTGGAGGAGAAGGCGTGGCTTCAGGGGCCACATGTGCAAAGTGTCATCCACTAGAAGCACCCACATGGGCCAAGTAGAGGCAATGTGAGGGGCACCAATATGTTAACAGGCCAGTCCGTTCAAACGTCCAGGGAAAGAGAAAGGAAGGGAGCCACCACCTGGGGCGAGGGTGCCCTCAGCGGCCAGTGCCGAGGCCTAGAGCCCCTGCCTCTCACTGGGCTTGGTGCAAAGCTAGGGCTGTCCCTGCTCCAAGGAGTTCCTCACCAGCTGAGCCACTCTTGCTGCTGCTGACAATAATTTGGCTCCTGCTGCTTACAGTGCTCCATAAGGGGACACCCTTTAATACACTGCATTCTTGAGGGTGGATACAGGATATGAAGTCATTCCCCCAAGAACATGGATACGTGACCTGTCCAGGATCAGACCTGGTCCATCTGACTCCAAAGCCTTGGCTTTTTCTGTCTCACAGAAAGGGGAAGGGGAAGGAGCCGAAAGTCCACAGGATTGGCAGTTTCACAGGTCTGGCAGTTCTAGCAGAACTTCTGACCACTCTGTGCTAGGGGAACTGTAGACTCAAAAAATGCTGTATGTCATTAATGGTGAGGAATTTCCAATATAGAGAAAAAGACAGAAAATAAACATGACTGACCCTCATACATCCATTGCCAAACTTAACGTGTATTAACATCTTGCAGTGTTTTCTTCAGAGCCCTTGAAAAGAAAACAGGTTGCAGAGCCAGCCGAAGCCCCTCCTCATGGCCCCTGAGACTTGTCAATGTCCTAGGACGGTTATGTGTCATCCCCGTGCACGACTTCTTGTATTTAACACTCACTAAGCATCAGCATACAATCCATGGTGTTGCATGTGTTTTACATTTTTACCTGGGTTCCATACTGTACATAACTTTACAGTTCACTCCACACATTAAAAGGCCCACAGGAAACCTCAGACTCAGAGTGGCCAAGCAACTTGTTAAAGGTTGCTCTTACCTCTGCCAGAAAGAGAGAGACTCCCAGACTCCTGCTTCCAAGTCCTTCAAGCAGTAGTCTGTGCTTGTCTGTTTCTGCCGTTCTGCCTTCACCTTCATACTTCTTAGAAGCATGCAATGAACCAGCCTGGGGTAATAATTAACACAGAGCTTTCCCTCCAACTACAGATCTTCCTCGACTAACAGTGGGGTTACGTTCTGATAAACCCACCGTAAGCTGAAAATATTTTAAGTGGAAAGTGCATTTAATCCACCTAACCTACCGAACATCATAGCTTAGCCTAGCCTACCATAAACGGGCTCAGAACACTTTCATTAGCCTACAGTTGGGCAAAGTCATCTAACACAAACCCTATTTTATAACAAAATGTTGAATATCTCATGTAATTTATTGAATACTGTACTGAGAGTGAGAAACAGAATGGTTGGATGGGGACAGAATATTTTCAGTGTATCAGTTGTTTTCCATTGAGATCGCGGGACTGACTGAGAGCTGTGGCTGCTGCCAGTGCCCAGCATCGTGAGAGAGGATCGTACTGCAAATTGCCAGCCTGGGAAAAGATCAAAATTAAAAATTTGAAGTATGGTTTCTACTGAATGTATATTGATTTCGCACCATCATAAAGTTGTAAAATTGTAAGTTGGGAACCATCTGTAGAGATTTCCAAGAGCCTTTTGTCATTTTCCTCTCCTACTTTAAGGCAAGAACCAGATTAGCCATGATCAGCTAAGATAACAGAAGCCAAAACATGCTGTAGACTCTAAATAACCTCATAGAGCTTAGCACTTACTGACACTTGTGGAGGACTTATCCAATAATCCAAAGGACCTGGGCACCCTGAAGCACTGCTTACGGTGCTCCATAAACATCTATTGGGTGGATGGATGGGTGGGTGGATGGGTGGGTCAGTGGATGGATGGATGGACGCGTGGATGTTTAGGTGGATGGATGGATGAGTGGAGGGACAGGTGGGTGGATGTTGAGCAGCCTGGAGTTAATCCTTTTACATTCATTCCACTCATATCTGGGCAGAGAAACTTCATAAAGAGATTGACAGTGTGATTGGGCCAAGCCGAATCCCTGCCTTCAAGGACAGACTAGAGATGCCCTACATGGATGCTGTGGTGCATGAGATTCAGCGATTCATCAACCTCGTGCCCTCCAACCTGCCCCATGTAGCAACCCAGGACACAGCGTTCAGAGGATATGTCATCCCTAAGGTCAGCTGTGAGCCTGGAGCGCGCATCCTGAGCACCGCCCTCCCAGCTCATCAGCCAGCCCGCCAGGGAACGGGCCGGGGGCATCCAAGGACACCACCTTTTGGTAGATGTGGCTGAAAGGTGGGAGCTGGGCTAGCACTCCCACTCTGCAGAGTCTGCTTCCCCAGCAGTCCTCGCATGGACCCGGTGACCCTAGACATTGAGAAAACCTGGAAAAAGGACTCCTCAGACAGTGCCTGGGGTTTGTGGTACATTCTAACACCAGAAACGAACAACATTGACTCCAGCCTGGGCTACTCCTCTGAAAAGATGAGAGCTCTCATCACCCTCTGGCCCTGACCCCCAAATGCTTTCTTCCTAGTCCTTAAGGAAACAACTCCCCCAAGTGGAAACATACTATCTTGTATAAAGTAAATTTCAAAACACCCTTCTTCACTGGGGGCTTCCAGCTGAAAAATGTCACTGACTGAGACAGCCTTTGTTCCTTCTAGGGCACAGTCGTAATTCCGACACTGGATTCACTCTTGTATGACAACCAAGAGTTCCCTGATGCAGAGAAGTTTAAGCCAGAGCACTTTCTGAACGAAAACGGAAAGTTCAAGTACAGCGACCATTTCAAGGCATTTTCCGCAGGTAGGAAGAGTTCAAGAGTAGCAGCTTCTTGGGGAATTGCTCCTAATGCCTGCTCTCTGCTCCTCGCAGCTTCTTCCCTTATCCCGGATCCGCACCCCATCCCAAAGGTGATCTTCCATGTTCAGAGAGCTTAAGTGACTGTTTCACCAGGAGTCCTGGGACTGAGGGGTTACAGATGAATTATTTTCTCTGTAGAGTAGATACTTCACTTCACTCAGTGCTAAAACTCTTCATTTAACAGAACTTAGTGAAAACCTTTCAAAACTATATTACCTAATTCTCCATAATTTTAAACAAGGGTTACTAACAAAATCTAGCGTCTGGTTGCCTGGATTCACCCTAGGACCATCTAACCTTCCCTGGCTGTGACTCAGTGTCCCCCCACCCCCCGGCCCTTGGCCTCCTTCCCAGGGTCTCCCCTCAGATGCTGCTGTGAGGGAAGATCATATAACCAACCTGATAGCCTTAACACCCATTGGTGGAGTGTTGGCTTCCAATGGCGGTCCCACTTTTACCTGTAGGACATGGGGGTGAGCCCTGCAGAGACCATTCTCCCAACCTAACGCAGGTTTCTGCAGCCGAGTCCTGGAGATTGAGGCCAGATGAAGGCTGGTCCCTGAACACATCTGTCGCTAGTACTCTTATACTGAAATCTACTCTGTGCTCCCTTTCAACGGGCAGAGAGGGGTCAACTCGGCTTTAGGATGACAGATTGGGCACAGCCTCCTCCCGCCCAGCTCTCCCTCTGCTGCCTCACCTGCAGCAATGCTGTCTCCTGAAGCTGCCTCAGTGTCTCATCAGTACTGTCTCACCTCCAGGAAAGCGCGTGTGCGTCGGAGAAGGCCTGGCTCGCATGGAGCTGTTTCTGTTCCTGACTGCCATTCTGCAGCACTTTAACTTGAAGTCTCTGGTTGACCCCAAGGATATTGACCTCAGCCCCGTCACGATTGGGTTTGGCAACATCCCACCCAATTACAAGCTCTGCATCATTCCCCGCTCGTGAGCGCGAGGGACAGGTGCTCAGAAGACCCCTGGGCCCCTTGATGCCCTAGGGTTCCTGCCAGCGCCCACTCAGTGCCACCAGGAAGACCCTCCCCTCACGGCTCAGTGAGTCAGGGCTCCACGGGGATCACTCGGCCGGAGAGGCTGCTTCCCAGAATCATTCTTCAGATAGAATTTGAAAGCAAAGTCCAAAAAAGATTGTGTAAAACCAATTAAACTAACTAAAGAAACTGAATTAGTTTGAGCCTATGTTGAGTTCTTGGAAACAATGTAAACAAGGCCTATCATTGTAGCTGAAACTCCCCTCTGCTGAAAAAGTAGAACTAGCCAGGCAGCAGAGTCACTATCTGTCATAAAGGTTTCACAAAAAAGAACATGGACACCATTTTGTAGTTAGGAAAAGAGGCAAATAATATGCCTTTAGAGGTTTCTTAGTTATGTCAAAAATGTATCCCCCACCATCTTTCCCAAGGGTATGAAGTCGTCCTTTGGGCTCACTATGAGCATCGTTCTGCGCCATGTTGTAAGATTAAAATATGTCTGAAAAGTCAACAGAGACATCTGTTATTGTCTCTTAATATTAAAATGTGACTTTGCAGGAGCCAGCCCCATGGCCTAGTGGTTAAGTTCAGCGTGCTCCACTTCAGTGGCCCAGGTTCGGTTCCCGGGTGCGGACCTACACCACTCGGTGGCTATGATGTAAGGACAACCCACATACAAAATAGAGGGAGACTGGCACAGACGTTAGCTCAGGGTGAATCTTCCTCAGCCAAAAAAAAAGTGCCCTGGTACCTGGAAGGAGAAACTCTAAGTCCATGAGGACCCCTGCATGAAATGAGACAGAAACAAGGAAATAATTAATCGTCTCAGTGAACTAAACCTTAATGTTGTAAAACAGAAGAGGAATTTGGAGCCAGAACCTGGTCCCCACCCAGCTGGCACACACCTAGAAGTCCTCTGTGTGCTCAGCCTTCATGCCTTGACTTCCTCACCAGCAAAACGGGCATGATAGAAGGCCTTGTCTACTGCATAGATGAGGGTGGACAGGTTAGGTGTGCAGAGCCCTCAGAACACTGAAAGTTCTAAGAAAGTGTTCCCGAGTGAGTCATGTCTCACAGCCAGCGGTGTAGCATCTTCCAATCTCCCTCTGACTGGCCCTCCTGCCTCCTCTTAGGAGGATCCCATGATAACATCGGGCCCACCCAGATAACCCAGGATAATCTCCCCATCCCAGGATCTTGAACTTAATCACATATTCAAAGTGCATTTACCATGTGAAGCACATATTCACAGGTTCTGGGATTAAGATGCAGATGTCATTGGGTATATTGTTCTGCCGACCACACCTTCCACCTCACACACCATGAGACACTACCAAAAACCAGCACTGACAGACTGGCAAACCAAGAAACTGCAGAGGACCAGCTGCCTCTGCTCTGAAAGGCCACTGTCACTCTCATCATCACACCAACTCAGCAGGAGATTATATGAAAATGTCTTTTCATTTGCTTTAGGGATTTCAGTTTGAGAGAATACCCTAGGAAAATTCTAAAGTACTCAAAGTCATGGAAGGAAGTTGGGAGGGAGACGGGGGGCCCTCTGAGTGTAGATGTCTAACTGATCCAGGCAATGGCATCTGGCTGTTAAGAGTCTCAGGTTGATTTCCTGTTCAGCACATCCCAAAACTGTGTATTCATGTGGTGGCTTCCCAAGCCTCAGCTATTGCAGGTCCTGCCTCTCCTCAAGGTGAGCACTGACCACGAGGTAATATTACCTTGGAGAATTAGTCTCAGCTTAAGAAATCCTCCACTGATCTGAACCATATTTGGCAAAAGGGGAAGAGATGGGGTCAATAGGAGTTGGGTGGACCAAGGGAGGGGAGGGAATGTCTCCGTCAGTTCTGGCTGCTCTAACAAATTGCCATGGACTGGTGTGTCCACTGAAATAAAGAGTGTAGGTAAAGGTTCAATGAAGGAGTTTATTCCACAATCAAAGTGAAGAATTCGAATGCCAGGAAACAGCCCAACAGAGTATTCTGAGGCACTGCTCTGAGGTCTACAGAAGTGAGCATAGTTTATAAACCTCCAAATAAAGCAGTGTCAGTGCAGCAGACAAGGGGCTGCAAAGTCGTTTAGACACAGGCCTGGGAGCCCTGCATGGCTGCCTCACAGCACAGCATGGATTTTTATTGTACCGACTTTGAGCCTGTGCAGCTCACTTGCTAGATTTGCATGTTAGACCAGGGAGAGGTGTCCCAGTCTCGTTTACAGGTGGCTTGTGTATTTCTCACAGTCTGGAGGCTGGAGCTTGAGATCAGGGTGCCAGCATAGTGGGGGTGAGGGCTGCACCCTCATGAACTAATGGCCTCCCAAAGGCCCCACCTTCTAGTACCATCATATCGGGATTAGGGTTTTAACACATGAATTTGGGAGGACACAAACTTTCAGTCTATTGCATTCCACCCCTGACTTCCCAAATTCATGTCCTTACCACATGTGAAATACATTCATCCCATCCCAATGGCCCCGAAAGTCTTAATTTGTTGCAGTGTCAACTCTAAAGTCTGAAGTCCGAAGTCTCATCTAAATATCACCTAAACCACATGAGGGTGACACTTGAAGTATGATCCATCCTTAGGCAAAATTTCTTCCCAGCTGTGAACCTATGAAACCAGACAAGTTAGTGCTTCCAAAATATAGTGATTGACAGGCACAAGATAGACGTTTCTATTTGCAAAGGGAGAAATAGGAAAGAAGGAAGGGGTGACAGGTCCCAAGCAAGTGCAAACCCAGCAGAGTGAATCCAAGACCTTCAAGCCTGAGAACAAGCCTCTGTGACTTGAAGCTCTGCCCTCGGGACCCCGTGGGGCGGAGGACCTGCCCTGAAGCTCTGCTGGGAGGGTGGTGCCCCGAGGGCTCTGTCAGGCAGCCCCGCCCCAGGACTTTGGGCAGAGGCCATCTGGCCTGCTGAAAACAAGACATGTCTCCCCTTTGCAGCCTAGGAGGCAGCCCTGATGATTTCTGAATCGACACAGGAGTCACGTGTTCGTCTTGAAGTACAGCACACTTCACGGCTCAATAGCTCCATCGTCCCAAGACCTCTGCCAGCCTTTCATTATTCCTTCCCTCTCCTCCCCCTTCACTTCAAACTGGCAGTTTTCCTGCTGAGGCAGCTATTAACTCCTTGGTTCACACCCATTCTCATCTCCTTATCAAAGGGCCGCGTGGCCACACACTTAGTGTTCTCTTCTGAATATGCTTTCTCACTTTTTGCAAAATGCATAGGCTGAGAATTTCCTAAATATTTAAGTTCGAGTTCCTTTTTGCTTAATAATTCCTTCTTTAGGTCAGTTCTCTCTTCCTGCATCTTACTGTAAGCAGTCAGGAGGAGCCAATCCACTCCATGGGCACTTGGTTTAAAATCCACTCAGCTTTATATCCAATTTAATTTCCCGCAAATTCTGCCTTCCACAGAACACTGCAACCTGAACACAATTCAGCAAAGTTCTTTGTCACTTTATTACAAGGATTGCCTTTTTTCCATTGTCCAGTAATGTGTTCCCCATGACAGATAGAAACGGCGAGCAATAGGATGTCGACGAAAATAATCCATAACCAATCTATAAATGAAAATTTGGGAGAGTTTATTCTGAGCTGAAATCTGAGGACCATGGCCCGGGGCTTTTCTTCCCGAAGGAAGAAAGGGCACCAAGGAAGTGAGGTGTACAGAGTGGTTATATACCCCCATACAGGACGTTTCACATATGATTGAAATGTCCCTCCCACAATAGTCACAAGATTGCCCTGTCGGCACAGCACTTGATGGACACAGCAGGTAGTGGGTCTGCTCTCTCAGAGGGCGTAGCAGGAGGCAAGTCTATTGTCTTGAGCTGGGTGGTCACAAGTGAGCACAGCAATCAGTTTCTAGCCTAAGGAAAGATGTTTAATCCTTAAAGAAATGCCAAGGTTGGGAGGGGGAGGGAAGTTGCACCTTTATCTCAAGGGCCTTTGCTCTTGCCATAGGGATCTCTAAAGCAGATATACAATGCATGCTCAACGGCTTCCGTCAGGCCCTTTTGGAAAGACAAGGTCAGACCGAATTAGGTTTACACCAAATGGCTTCCTCATATACTCCAATATATCCTATTGCTTGCCATTTTTATTTGTCAGGATCTATTTGAGTCTAGAAGGAAGCCATTTGGTGTAAACCTAATTTGGTCTGACTTTGTTTTTCCAAAAAAGACCTGACCGTCACCATTGAGCACGCATTGTATATCTGCTTTAAACATTTACTATGGCAAGAAGAAATGGCCTTAAGATAAAGGTGCAACTTCCCCCTCCGTTGGCACTTCCTTAAGGATAAGTATCTTTCCTTAGGATAGGAATTGATTGCTGTGCTCATTTGTGATCACCCAGCTCAAAACAACAGACCTGCCACCCTGCTGTGTCCACCGAGAGGGCAGACCTACCTGCTGGGTCCATCGATCGCTGTGCCGACAGAGCAGTCTCACGACTATTGTAAAAGGGACGTTTCAATCCTATGTGAAACATCCTCTCTGGGGGTCTAGAACCACTCTGTACAACCCACTTCTTGGGTGCCCTTTCTTCCTTCGGGAAGAAAGGCCCTGGGCCACAGTCCTCACATTTTAGCTCAGAATAAACTCACCCAAATTTTCATTTACAGATTGGTTACGGATTATTTTCGTCCACACCCATTTCCACCTGAGACCTTATCAGAATGGTCTTTACTGTCCATACCTTGGACAACATTTTGTACATGATTATTTGTGAATGCTGTGAAAAGACAAGAGCTTTCTCCATAGCTCTTCCCTTTCTGAGCTGTTACCAGAATCATCTTTAAAAGTCCTTTCACAAGTGCCAGAGATGGAATGTTTGTGTCTCCTCAAAATTCCTATGTTGAAGCCCTCCCCCCAATGTGGTGGTGTCAGGAGGTGGAGCTTTGGGAGGCGAGTCAGTCCTGAGGGAGGGCAGAGCCCCATGATGGGATTAGTGCCCTTATGAGAGTCGGGAGACAGCCCCTCCCTTCTGCCCTCCACCCTGCGAGGACCTGCAGGAGGTGGCCTTCAACGAGGAGGCAGCTCTCACCAGACGCTGAATCTGCCAGGGCCTTGATCTTGGACTTCCAGCCTCCAGAGCTGTGAGAAAGAATTCCTGTAATTGACAAGTTACCCAAGCTACAGCATTTGTTACAGCAATCTTTACCAGGTTGAGGA